CACACACACACACACACACACACACACACACACACACACACACAATCAAGTAACAAAATAAATAAAATTAGCTTGAAAGTCTACGAGGAATAAATTTTCCTGGAATGGATGTCTAGTACCCATCAAGAAAATGCATGGCAATCATGTAGAGAGCCCCACACTCCAAGGACCCTGGGAATTCAGGTGAGCAGCACTGATGGTGAGGCCTCAGCCCCAGGAAAGCTCCCGAGAAGATCAACTTCCCAAGAGAAACAACGGCAAGCTGGAAGTGAGGCAGCCTGTCTCACCCTGTTCTCACAGGGCCACATCCCAGTTAATTCCCGGAAAATGTGTGTGTCATCTACGCACACGCTCTCTTTGTACCTTCTGGGCTATGCCCAATAACGGGGACACCCAAAGGCATTCTGTTTGGAAAAATCAATGAAGAGGCTAAAACTACTCTCACTTGTGTACAAAATTAAAATTATAAACCAACGCTTCTGAGACTGGGCAGCGGTCAGGATGAAATAAGCAATGTTTTCAAGTGGTTGGAGCTAATGACCTGCTCTGGCCACTCTCTTATATGGAGTCCTTCCCTGGATGGTGTAGCAAGGAAGGAGTATTCTCCTTAGAAATGAGCTCAAGTATAGTGTTGTAGTTTATTCTGGAAGACTCCCTCATCACTCTCCTCTAGGAAGCCTGCACCTCCTGATGTATTAAAGAGCAGTGGCTGAGTCGACAGCTGAAGTCTGTGGCGAGGTGTTCTTCTAATGCTACTGTTCACAGGAGTGCTGTGTTGAGGGATCCCTGTGACCCTGTGTACCAATCAATCAGCACTGAGGGCAGAGGGAATGCTGGCTGGTGTTTGGGTCCTACAGAGCACATAATGCACAGGATCACTGATTCACTGTGATGGCGTATTCTACCCAGCCCATCCGAGGCACATTTCTTACACCCACAATGTTGTAATTTTTTCTTGTTCTTCATAAAAAACCCACCAATAAAGCCAGAAATGCAGGACAGAGATACAGCTTAGTGGTGGTGCACTAGCCTAGCGTGGGTTCAATCTGTAACAAAGTAAGGGGAACTTTTTCTTTAAATCTCAAAACCCAAATGAGCAGGAGATAGTCTTAGATCTTTGCTTAATTCTGTTAGGAACATCTTGAAAAACCTCTCAGGATGTTCATTAGAGGCCAGTTTACTTTCTCAAGAGTGGAGCATGATCTAATGATTGCATTTGTCTCTAGAAGGTGGTATTCACTGATTGGGCTTTCAAGTAGAAAAGAGAGAAGAAAAGCCATTCCTTGTGGATTCTATGCTCAAATCAAGCCCTCGGGAAGTTACAGTCTTCTTAGCAGCTTGAGCCGCTGCCTGAGGAGGCGACTTTACAGTTACTCTAAAATGCACTTTCAAAACAAAAGTTAGAAAGCTCCCTGGCCCCTTCTTGAGAAGGGTCTCTTCCTGTTCAAACCCCATCCTGACCTTTTTGTTGAAGAAGAGCAAAATAACGCGGTAACAAAAACACAAGTGGCTGCCAAAGGAAGAGAGAGGAAAAAAAAGGAGTTCCTGTAAGGGGCTGAAACAATAAATCTCCTCTCCGCTGACCTCCCAAAGGGAGTGTGTGTGTTTCCTCTAGTTCTTTATCAGAGTCCCCAAAATAAGTAGGAATGGGCAGCGTCTGCTCACATACAGCACACCTTTTCCAGCTGCTACTACGGCCTGGACAGGCTGGAGGAGTCCTTCCCTGCCTTGCCCTGGGAGAGAAGCCACCGAGACCATCCTAAGGCACCATGCGGCTGCTTCAAGTGACAGCTCTTTTCTTCCTTGTGTCCAGCTGTATCTGCCAGAGCGAGGACAGCGGAGGTACGTTTCTTATCCTTCTGATGGTGTGGATGAGAAGTCGGAGCTGGCGAGCTTCTAGACGCGGTTATCTTCAGGAGGCTTTCTCCTGCAATTCTCATGTGCCAATTGATTTGCTCACGGAGTGCGTGGAGTGAGGCTTGGAAGAGGCCAAGCAGGCAGTGCCACAGACTGAGAGTTTGTTCCTTCTGAGAGGAAATGTTTGCTGGTCTGATGGCCTGAACGTGTGTTTAATGGATTCATAAAACAACTGTGGAAACGCATTGCCTTTTCAGAGACTAAGATAGAATTTTGGCTAATTCAAAGGGAAAAAAAAATGTTCTTTTCTGTCATCAGCCCAGACTAATAAGAGAATCCTGTATGAAGGACAGGTTGTCATTGGAAACACTGTGTTACCCAGGCTGCCGGTGTCTGTTCCAGCTGTTTCTCAGCTCTGGTCAGGTAAAGCTAGCTAGAGAAGTGAATGGTGACTCACTATTAGGAGACTATTATCATCTTAGGTGACTGGGTAAGTGGAGATTGAAATTTATAGACTTTAGTTACAGAAGTATATGCAGTTGTAAACATGATCCCCTAATATTCTGTGTAACTTTCAGAACTTTAAAGATAGATATGTAAAACCCATCACTTACTGTACAGAAAGACCCTCTGGTACATGTTACGCTGCCCTAGTGAGCAGTCGCAAGAATCATTGTTTTTATTTCTAAGCATTCTTAAGTAATACAAAATAAACAGTTAGGCTTAATCAATAATTCATTGGGCTCCTATCCTGTGCTGGGCAATGTGAAGAACATAAAAATGAGTAAGCTGCTTTCCTTTCCCACAGTAGTAAATGTACTATTGAGAGAAATAAGCAAGGGATTCTAGTATTAGACAGCTCTAATAAGTATGAAAGCTAAAACAAAAGCTACCAAAAGAAGACACAATCGGGACAGATTGGTTCTGACTCCGAGGGGTGTGGTAGGGGGAAGGGTATGTGTGTGTGTGTGTGTGTGTGTGTGTGTGTGTGTGTGTGTGTGTGTGTAGTAATCCAGAAAACTCAATTCCAATTTTATTTGCTTGTGCCCTTTTCCAAAGGTTACTGCCTATAAAATTTTAATTTATAAAAACAATGTAAATTCAAAACAAAAATAAAACAAAGCCAGGCAGTGGTGGCGCACACCTTTAATCCCAGCACTCAGGAGACAGAGCCAGGTGGATCTCTGTGAGTTCGAGGCCAGCCTGGGCTACCAAGTGAGTTGCAGGAAAGGCGCAAAGCTACACAGAGAAACCCTGTCTCAAAAAACCAAAAATAAATAAATAAATAAATAAACAAAACCAATGGTCCAACCTGAGTTACATCTTGTCAGTAATTTTTTTAAAAAATATTTTTATAAGTTTATTTTTATAAGTCTTTCCACAACACACATTTGCTTATCTTGCACCTGGCCAGAAAGTCATAAGAGCTACTGCAAATTTTTTTTTTTTTTTACTACAAAAGTATCCACGAAGTATCAGAGATCAACTGCTTGCTTCTCAGTAATTCTTCAGTATATATTAGAATAATTAATGAGAATATCTACTCTGCAACACACTGCTCAAAACTGTGTGCCTGATTAATATAAGTTCTGAAAGCTTGGGCTAGGCTCTTCATGACTTCAGGTCTACAGGCCTTAGAGTGTGCAGCATCCTGCCAGCATATTTTAATGCTGAATGGGCTGTACATCCTGAAAATAACCAAGAAGAGGGTCAGCGGAACTGGCCTCCACATTGTGACTGATTGTAAGAAAGAGAACTATCATGGAGGACAACCCAGAATTGCCGACAGACTTTTCTACTGTGGTCATTTAGAGAAAACACCAGACTCCTTCAGCTCACTGGTCTAGTGTCTACCCTCCCTTTAGTGGGGCCAACTGTCTAAGGAGTTATTAGCCCACGCTAGATAATTTCTCTCTGGGGCAGTGAAAATATTTAGACAGTATTTCCTTCACATCTGCCAACAAACTTACTTGATAACTTAAGACCTGTATCTGGAATGAGGAAGACAGGAGGAAATGAGAGGGAGAGAGGAGAGGGGGAGGGGAAGAGAGGGAGGAAGGGAAGAGAAGGAGGGAGGGAGGGAGGGAGGGAGGGAGAAAGAGAGGCTGATCTTAGAAAAGGAAGCTGGATCTTGGCACCATAGACTGACCCTTCAGAGTGGCCTGGGTGGGACTGAACGAGATTTTCCTGGCTGGATACGTGGATGGCTTTGATGCACCTGGCTCTGCCAGTTTACGTTTCCTTAGCAGATTGGGCACAGGAAATGAAGCATTTCCTACGTTCATCTCGTCAGCTCTTTCCTTACTCCCTGTACCAAGAGTACATTGAGTTCTGAGCTTCATCGGCTCCTCACGCTTAGGATGATAAACAAATTTATCAGCAGAGTCAATTATTGGGGTTTGGGTAGGAGCCATTTCAGTTCTAGCATTTAGATTTTCAAGTATATGCGTGCTTCTTTTGCTCTGAAATTGACTGCTAAATATGATTTTTTTATCTGAGAAATTGAGTGCTTTCCTTCCTGGTGTTTTTGTCAGTCTCAGATTGAAATAAATATGATCTTGTGGTGGGGCTTTTGTGGAAATCCAGAGAATGATCTGAGTGGCAGCAAGTAGCTTTTGTTGGTAGGATGCTGGCCTAGGAATTTACAGTGTCTAACTTGGAAGGCTGTTCTTTAGAAACATGTCCCAGAAGTGCCTGAAGGAAACCGTCCCTCTTTCCTGAAGTCTCCCACACTGTATTTAAAACTGAACAGGCACTCCAGTGGCTTGTAAGAATAGAGGAGTGAGCTTTTGACTGCTGAGACACAGCCACATTAAATGAAGATTCCAGGAAAATGGAAGCCTGGAATCTATATGTATTTACTCCCTGTAACACTTTATTTTTAAACCTGGCAATAATTTAGAAGAGATTAAAATGTTTTGGGTAGGCAGAAACAGATGCCAGCATATTGATATCAGAAGGATTTAGTTGCTTGGAGGAATTCATTTGTTACTGACAGAACGTTCAGTTTTATAAAACAAAACCTGATTGAATATACTATAAGAAGACACTATGCTAAATCCTGCAGCTTTATGAAAACAAATAGGACCCATTTCTTGTATTAGGTAGAATGGGAAGAGTCAAGCAGTGCAAATTTTATCAGAGGTCTTGAGGAACAGAGAAAGAATGGCATAGGAAATTCACAAGTTGTTTAGTTTGGTGTGTTGGGAAATCACACAACTTCTCATGAAATTGTGATAAGCACTGCAACTTGAAAATCGGGATATCAAGGTCAATGTAAAATGTCTTGAATAGAGACGTTGAAAGAGCGGTGTCTTCCAGTCTAGAAATACAAAGAAGCTATACGCTGAGTATGGATGCACACTCGGAAGCACTGTGCCAAGTGTGGCATCAGATGATGTTGACTAGAGGATAAGCAATACAGATTAATCTCCCTGGAGCTGGAGCTCGGGATAAAGCAGATTCTTAATTTATGTGAGGCCCTGGGTTAGATTTCCATATCTCCAAACAAATACAAAAGAAATACTCACTTATAGGTAACAATTGGTGCTCGTAGAAGCTCTTGAGCGTGGGTTTTATATCATCAGAGTTATAAATTAAGAGGAACAGTCGGTCAGCAGAATACAGATTAGTCTGCTCAGGTCAGGAGAGATAAAGGACAAAGAAACCATTGCACAAGTCACTGTAAGTCAGAGGGTCCACCAGTGAGGTGTAAAGAAGGCTCTGGGAGAACCTTCAAGGATATAGAGCCCATGTAGATTGTCCCTACATTTTACTGCTGATGAGAGACAAGCCAAGACAGGGTTGTGTGAATATTAGAATTGGGCAAATGGTTTTAGAGCAGAGATGAGGAAACACAAAGAGATAGTTTAGGAGAAAAATGGATGCTGAGATAGTAAATTTTTAATCCTGGTAAGATGTGAAAGCTGTGACACGCAATGGGAATCGGAATGTCCCAGGAGCTGGGGGTCATGTTGAGAGGTAAAGTGTTCTCCACCTCTCAGTTCAAAGCTTGACACTCCTCACTGTGACAACATGGATACACAGTTTCCTTTCTTCTGGGTGCCTATGCTTTGCACGTTATATGGAGCTTAATTCACTGGAGCACCTTATTTCTTCCTCCACACTGCAGGCACCTTCAGTTTGCCAGTAGCTATGGCAAATAAATAATATAATAAACAAATAACACAAATAAACATAATAGATAATAGATATAAATGAAACCATAAACAATTAATATAAAATAGTTATATGAAGTTGCTTAGTACTTCAGTTGAGCTTAATTTTCATCCATATTTCTTATATTGGAATAAGCAATCTGTTGTAGTAAAAAGTAATTGCTATGTGGAGTAGTTACAATGTGGAGCAAATCCAGTAGGAAGAGTGTTTGGTCTTCAAGTCATTTGTTTAGTATTCTTTCCTCAGTGATTCATTTGAAAATGGTCCTTACCTAAAACTAAAAGTGATCATATGTTATCAATGTATGGAATATTTTCTGGACATTCATAAGATTGTCCTCAATAAATTCTCTTTTAATTTCATTTCATAGATCTGAACCATTCAGAAAATTGAAAAAAATTGTTCATATTTGAGGATTTTGGAAATTAATTTGTTAGATAATGGTCATTTCCCTTTTTATCTCAAGATTCAGGTAAAATTTTAACTCATAGATCATTATATGATTTGAGTTACTCATATTCTTTTTTTATTAGTAATCAATTGCCAGCCACCTCTTCAACTCTAAGAATAACTTGAGATGGCACATTTCCAAGCATTGATTTGAAAAGTAAGAATTTTCTGTGACATCCAATTCCTGTCATACCCCCTTTTCTGCTTCTGAACTCCTAGCGTCGTTGGGGCTTTATTGAGTCAGACAGTAATGGCTTCATGGAGTGAGAAGGTCTCTCAGAAGAGAAACTTAGGAGTTCGGCTGGCACCTTTGTGCACCCCAGCACTCAACAGAAGAATAAACACCAGAAGCATTA